TTAACCCTCAAAAAGGTATCCAGGGCCAGAAAGATAGTACAGAAGATAGGTGTCACCTTGCACATGGCCGACACGGTTTTTTACCCTGGCATTCCATATGCCCTTCCTGAGCATCACCAGGAGTATTTCCTAAGCATCACTGGGTGTGCCAAAATAAAAAAAGTATCCTACTACATGAACTCTAGACCTAAGTGGTCATATCTCCAGGCAGTTTTACTTCTATGACTTGCATCCTTTTTTTAACACCCAGCCCCTCTGTTTCCCATTTTCACGACTATGGTAACGATGGCTGTGAGAGAAGACAGGCAGTGGAGACAGGACAAGTGGTGGTCCAAGTCAGCAACCACACGGAAAATGTTCTCCCATTAGCTGCCTGGAAGAGATCACTGTCTCAGTAAAACCCCTAGAATTACAGCCCTTCTACTCTAAGGCTCGCAAAGTGGACAGAGATGACTGTCCACACCATGGCTCCGAGATGACCATCTGAGACTGGTCGGAGAGTGAAAGGAAAATCCAGTGGCTGACTGCCACACCATATGGTGAAAGGCTGCGTGGGTGCCTCTCTGCCCTGCTCCGAGGCAGTTAAGCACTCACAAGGCAGAGCAATCAGGCAGGGGAGTGTGAAGGGTCCTGTTGCGTGCAAGTGTATATGCGCATGTGCACAGAGGAATACGGGCAGTTCCACAGACACCAGTTAGACCGCCAGTGTCTAAAAGCCCTGAGATGCAGACCGTCAGATCAGTCAGTGTTTCCCCAAACAGGCTAGCTGGTGGTCACTAGACTGAGCCCAAAATTTTTTGTGGGGTCACTGGAATGATCCAAAGGTGGACAGTTTGCTTGCTTACAGAAGCTAAATTTCCAAGGGGGGGCGCGGGGGGAGTAAATAACATTTTCTTTTTCCCGAAAAGGGTGTGGAAGATCAAGTAAGTTTGAAAACTTCTATGCTAGGTGTTACAACCTATACCTAAAACCCTCAACTAAACTTCTCTTTCAGAGGTAGCCCACATGAGGCGTCTATGTTACTAGTCTTTTAAGTCAATATGATTATTGAACCAGCTTCTTGTAGAACACCAGAAACTCTTAAGATGAGGGTCACGATGAACATTATTAATACTGGAAAAAGCAGATAATAATAAATTCAAATTAGTATTCTCACGAGGATTCCTAAAGATACTGCAAATATAAATTAAAAACAGATTATTTAAAGAGCAGTTGAACTCTCATATGATCCAGTAATTCCCCAAAGCTACCCCCAAAGTACAAAAGTAGGTATTAGAAAAACAAATATGCACAACTTTGTTTAATGTGTGCTGAGTACAATAGTCAGGGTATGAAAATGTCCAAAGACAGACAGAAAAAGAAACTGTGGAAATTCTGTGCAGCTGAAAGGAAAAATAAAATCTTGCAGTTTGCTGCAACTCGGAAGGAACTGACCAGAAGGTATCATGTTAAGTGAAATAGATCAGAGGGAGGACAAACATGGAATGATCTCATCTGTGGCATACTGTCCGACATCAAGGGGGCAGACGTATCTACTGATGAGGAGCACTTGGCCTTGGATTACAAAGGATTAGCCAAACACACTGGACAGGACAGGATGGGGTGTGGAGATTAAGAGGACTAGAAGTAACATAAAGACACTGGTAAAGATTGTGGGCAGTTTGGAGATGGTGATGGTGAAGGTGAACTTTATACAGCAAGGCCATAAAGGCTAACCATAAAGGCTAACACTATTATAACCATGTTTCCTAAACTAAATGGAGGGTGAGGAGGAGAGAAAGAGAGCAAAGGAGGGAAATGGGAAAAATAGTAACTGAAGGGCAATACAAAAATTCATAGAATCTGGGGACCCACAGGAGATAACTCAATACAGAGTGCAATCCCTACCACTGCATGGTCTGCTGATCACTGCCAGGAGTGACACCCAAACATGGTGCCAGGAGAAGCCCCCTGAGCACCACAGAGTGTGGCTTAAAAACAAAATAAGGGAGCAGGGAAGACAGCACAGCAGGGAGGGTGCTTGCGTCACATGCAGCGAACCCGTTCGGTCCCCAGCATCACATATGCTTCCCTGAGCCCTGCCAGGAGTGATCTCTGAGTGCAGAGCCAGGAGTAACCCCTGGTATACTGCCAGTGACAAAGAAAGAAAAAAAGAAAGAAAGAAAGAAAGAAAGAAAGAAAGAAAGAAAGAAAGAAAGAGAAGAGAAGAGAAAAGAAGACAAAAATGTACAGAATGTAAATGAGAGCCCAAGCTGGCTTTGAAGTCATCATCCCACTGTCTACCAGGGTTGATGGTTTGTTTGCCTCCACGTGCATCCTTCCCAACGCTGCACACGAAGTTGAAGAGGGTGGCACATACCCGCCACGGATGACAGGCCTTTCGTCTGTGGAGGGTATATGGGTAGCTGTGTTCCTTCCTGCTAGAACCTTCAAACACTCTCAGTTTAGAGAAGTTAGTAAGTCACTTATGGAAAGAAAGATGTAATGGCCAATGAAACAAAAATAAAGAGCAATAACAGAAAACTGAAGAAATTCTCCAGAACTTAGAACAAAAAAAAAGGTACCAACCACGAGAGAAAACTAACTCATAGAAGTGGTATCCAAAATTGGCGTGTTTGTGAAATGCAGCCCCTTGGGATGTACAAAATGTTCCTCTGGGATTCCAGAAGAACTGATATTTCTAGATTTGCAAGATAAATAATTCCATCTATTATAGAGATATATAAGATATATCATGCATATATGTACACCATTTAAAATTGAATATTCAAATATACAACAGATTTTTTTAAAAAACATGACACAGATATTTCTGAAATCATGAACATGATGGATCAATCTAGAAAGATCAAAACTCAATTAACAGGTATGTAGCACTGTCCTCCCGTTCATCCATTTGCTCAAGCGGGCACCAGTAACGTCTCCATTGTAAGACTTGTTACTGTTTTTGGCATGTCGAATGCGCCATGGGGAGCTTGCCAGGCTCTGCTGTGTAGGTGCGTCCTAGAGGGACGGAGAAATCGAACCCGAGTCGGCCGTGTGCAAGGCAAATGCCCTACCCGCCCCAGTCCAACTGGCATGTAAAAGGACAAAAAGAGGAAAAGTGAAAGGAATGACACAAGAAATAGAAGAAAAATCCTCAGTGTTGAAGAATGATTTTTAGCAGAAAGGTCAACCCAGTGCCAAGTCATACCTGGGCAAAATATAAAGTCATATCTTGAAAAATATAAGGCAAAGATCCTAAAACCTTCCAAGAATACAAGGGAGATCACGACTTCTACATAACACGTGAAATGAGACTATACTAAGAGTTTGTATTGTAAAAGATGTAAGGAGGAAAATGTACCAATGCTCTTATATTCAGGAGAAAGAGGATCATAAATACAGATTTCATATTCAACTGAACTGAAAATCAAATGTAATGTTATAAAAAAGTTCTCCCACGAATCACTTATTCTCTCACCTAGCATCTCATTTAACAGCCTATTATATAATTCGTTTCTTAACAATTTACACAAACATTTGCTGCACTCTAATTTTGGTCACTGTTTGTATGTTGGTCATTGTCTGTATGGACTTAAAATAGGTACGGCCCAAATGTTTGTTTCCATACATTAACGTTAAATGTATTCTTTCATAACATGTGGAGGAATTACAGCAAAGGCTTAATTCTAGAGCTCGGAGCTTCTGCCATTTCCACATTTCCAATATTGCAGGTGGTCAACCTATCAAACCACAACACTTTGAAGTCACTACTCTCTTCACAGTAACTTAAAATATAATTTAATCCAATGGTATTTAACTGAATAAACAAACACCAGTTACTGTTTACCTTTAAACATAATTTTAAAGTTTTCCTCACATAATTCTAATAAAAATCTTGCTTTCTGGAAAAAAAAAATCAAGCTTCCTAGTAAAAGTTTCAGTGTATACACTAAAAGGTCACAAATAACTTACTTCCATCCCACGAACAGTGGATTTACCCAGACAGCAAAATTTCACGAAGGCCTGCTATAAATTCAACTATTCTCACTGCCTAAAAGCGGTAACAATTGTATGGCATTCAGTTCTGAGCTGAAGGATGGACCTCAACCTTCATCCAACAAATGAATTCCACCTTTAGCATCACCACAAATCATCCACATCCTAGAAAATATCTTTGGAGAAAAACTCAGACAGGTATTTAGTGGTTAAGTGAGTTACCCAGGAAAACCAGACTTGCCCGACTTTGCTGGAAATTCACTTTACTTTTTTTTTTTTTAAGCGACTGCAACCAACACCTTAACGTGGGAAAGCACCAAAGGAAAGTGGCTCTTAACTGCGTGCACGGGCTAGAGTGCTCCTTAAGTGCATACAGTAACTAGTGGCTTAAAAGACGCAGAAGGAAGCCCAGGGCAACAGTATCGGTGCGGCCCGGGCAGGTGGGGGGAGAGGGGCCCACTGACCACCTCCCACCCCCACCCAAACCAGCAAGTCTTCTTCCGTCCGCCCTGGGGGAGGGGGAGAAGGCTGCTAGCGGGAAGGCACCCCGAATGACAGGCAGAACCGACTGCCAATCACGTTCGCCCCGAGGACTGGCAAAGAGGGGCAAGCCCTTCGGCCTGGGGGCAGGAGGAGCGCGCGAGATGGACACGGGGCCAGGAGGTGGCGGGGGCAGGACCGCGGGCTGGGGGCGGGGGTCGGCGAGGCCGATCCGGGGCGGGGGGGATGGAGAAAGCGGGAACCCGGGGCAGCCCGGGAGGGGAAGCCGCGAGGGCAGAAGGGTGACAGGGGCAGGGACGGAAGGACAATAGGGGCAGGCCCAGCGGCCGTCGAGTGACACAAGAGCCGGGACCCGAGCCAGAACTGGGGCCGGCCCGGCGGGCGAGCGCGCGCGGGGGGCCCAGCAGCCCGGCCCCTGGCCCGAGAGCGGGACCTGCACGCCGGGACGTCCCGGGGCCGACCGGCCCGTTGCTCCGCGGGCCCCCGGCTAACGGGGCCGGGTCACGGCGCTCACTTACCAGGCCACGGCGGCCCGGCGAAATCGCCACATCCCGCCGGCGACGAGGCCACCCCGGCGCCCAGCGGGCCACGCCCGAGCCCCGAAGTCAGCCCCAGCCAGGCGCCAGAGCCGCGAATGACCTAGGCAGAGGCCCTCGGCAACAAGGGCACCGAGCAGCCGCCGCGGCCCTCCCAATGGCGCCGGGACTTCCGCGAGAGCCCGCCCGGCACCCGTACACGGTCCGGCAGGCGCACGGCCGCCCCGCCCCTCCTAGGCGGGCGGCACAAAGGTTCCGGGCGGCACCGGCGCATGCGCCGACGGGTGCTTGCGGGGCTGGAGCCGCTTCTCAGGCCTGGCCACTGGCGCCCGCTTCTTTGCTTCCGGCCGGGTCTTGGCGCTTTCCTGATTGGGGCTCCGGGTGGTGGGGATGTGGGGAGGGAAAGTTTCCTTCACGCCCTGATTGATAAGTCCAGATTGATAAATTCCCCTAAGGTGGCTCCCTGATTCAAGGAAATTTCAGCATAGGGCCTTGCATGTGGCCAACCCGGGTTTGGGCCCTGGCACCTACCCCCCCCACCCCCACCCCGAGCGTGCAACAAGTGATCCCTAGGTGCAGAGCCAAGGAATAAGCCCTGAGCACATCCAGGTGTGGCCCAAAAGCAAAAAGAAAAAGTTGTGTACACTGGTGGAGGCATGGATGTTGGAACACTGTATGACTGAAACCTGATCAACAGCTTTTTAAGTGTCTGTCGCAGTGATTCAATAAAGATAATAAATTGTTCAATAAAATAAGTAAAAAGACAATTTCAGTATTTAAGGACTGTGCAGAGGCAGTATAAAGTGATGACTAATAAAATAAAACCAAGGGTTGCCCCTTTGCCCCACTTTTGTTTCTGGATCTGTGTTTACACAGGACAGGGTGACTGAAGGGCAGTCTTAGGCAAGAGTCTGGGAAGGTGTCTTAGAATCAGATCTGAAAGGAGCCAAGTAAGTGAGGCCAGTTATGGAAAAAGCTCCTATAGTTTATAAAGGCACCAGCTATTTTTTTTTTTAATCAGTGACACACCATGAGGTACCGTTGCAGACTTACAAACTTTCATGCTTGGGTTTCAGTCATACAATGATTGAGCACCCATCCCTTCACCAGTGCCCGTTCACCACCACCAATGAACCCAGTGGCCCACCCCCCCATTCCCTCCCACTCAGCCCCTCCTCTGTGGCAGGGCATTCCCTTTTGCTCTCTCTTTCCTTTAGGGTGTTGTGGTTTGCAATACAGGCACTGAGTGGCCATTGTTTTCGGTCTATAGTCTACTTTCAGCATGCATCTAGCAACCTGAGCTAGTCCTCCAAACACCCTTTACCTGGTGTTCTCTTCTCCATCTAAGCTGCCCTCTCCCCCAGCATCTGCTGCCAGCTTCCAAGCCATAGAGTGAACCTCCTGGTACTTATCTCAGCTATTCTTAGGTGTTCCTCTCCCATTCTGTTACTTTATATTCCCCAGATGAATACAGTCTTTCTATGTCTGTTGTTCTCTTTCTGATTCATTTCACTTAGCATGATACGTTCCATGTAGTACCACTTGTATGTAAATTTCATGACTTCATCTTTTCTAACAGCTGCATGGTATTCCATTGTGTAGATGTACCAATTTCTTTAGCCAGTCATCTGTTCTTGGGCACTCAGGTTTTTTCCAGATTCTGGCTTTTGTAAAGAGTGCTGCAATGAACAAGCAAGTGCAGATGTCACTTCGACTATACTTTTTTGCCTCTCTGGGATATAGTCCCAGGAGTGGTATTGCTGGGTCAAATGGGAGCTCAATTTCTAATTTTTTGAGAATTTTCCATACTGTTTTCCAAAAGCCCCAGCTATTATTTTTGTCCCCCAGTGGCATTCATCAGCCTGTAAATCTCATCAGTTTTGTTGAAGAGCCTGTGCCCAGGTTCCATCAGGTCTCTGTCACTATTGTGTTTCTGTCTGTAGACCCAGAAACGCTCAGCTTGCAACGCTGGCTGCTAAACTCTGTGCTCAGTCCTCTTCACTTCCTTCACTTGGAATTCAGAGCATCATGCTCTCCTTGTTTCCCAGGAGTTTCTGCTCGAGTGTCCGCTGCTGGTTCCTCCTCTCCCATCTTCTCACTGACATAGGGTCCCCCGTCTCACACAGCTTGAGCCCCTTTCTTGTCTTCTTTCTTCATTCTCTCCTTATGTAATGTTAGTCAGTCCTGTGACTGCAAATGCCCTTTCCCTTTCCGACTCATAGATCGTTTTATGTTTTCCGAGGAAACCGGGCCTCATTAAAGGGAAGTGGCCTCTAAAAGCTAAGGAAGTCCATTAGTGGCATATCCAGGAGCAAAATCACAAGTCCCCTCTGCCCTCTGTGTGTTTCATAGGTCCTCCCCCTCCCACGGGCAAAGCAGAGAAATGTCCTTTTTCCTTCGTCACAGGAATCATAAGTCAGCTTCTGTTTATTTTTTTCTTCTTATATTTATTTATTGAATCACTGTGGGAAAAGTTACAAAGCTTTCAGATTTAAGTCTCGGCAGTGGTAGGGCGTTTGCCTTGCACGCTGCCAACATGGCCGACCCGAGTTCGATTCCTCCGCCCCTCTTGGAGAGCCCGGCAAGCTACCGAGAGTATCTCGCCCGCACGGCAGAGCCTGGCAAGCTCCCCGTGACGTATTCGATATGCCAAACACAGTAACAACAAAGTCTCCAATGGAGACGTTACTGGGCCCGCTCGAGCAAATCGATGATCAACGGGAGGGCCTTTACTTTTTTACTTTACATACAATGATCAAATACCTTTCCCTTTACCAGTACTCATTTTTCACCACCAAGAACCCCAATATACCCACCTCCCACCCCTCCCAATGCCTGTGAGGCAGATGATTTCCACTTAACTATTCTCTATATTGATTACATTATTCATTATTTCGACAAAAGATGCACCATTATTGTTTAGAATTCCACCCCCCCACCCAACAATCAGAATTGCTGAAAAGGCATTGTGAAATACTTTGTTTTCTATAGCTGGTATGAGAATCATACAATGTCTTATAATAATTTTGGATTTCTGCAAAGAGCCAGATCATTATGAGATTGGTTTCTGTGCGTCTGGTGTTATGGCTGTGTCAGAGAGTCACTCGTGGGAGGCAACTCGTGACCTTGGTAGGGTGTAAAGGATGAGCCAGTACCACCCCCCTTCCCATGAGACTGCAGTTGCCTATCATCGCTGGCTCATACCTGGCTTTCCAACAAGCTCTGAGGCAGCAGCCACCTTGCTGCAGGGGGTGGGGGAGAGGCGGAAGGGAGCAACACCCTTTCCCTCTGGGGAGGCATGGCGCCGTAGTTGAATGCATGGTCCATTCACTTTTCTGCCACAAGTTGCTGGGCTCTGGATTAAGTCCTTTTGCCTCTGGAGCCATGGCCGTGCCAGAGAGCTGCTCGTGGGGGGCAACTCGTGACCTCGGTAGGGCACAAAGGACGAGCTGGTATTGCTCCCCTTACCATGAGACTGCAGTTGCCCTGTCACCGCCAGCTCATACCTGGCTTTCCAATAAGCTCTGAGGTGTCGGCCACCTGGTATGCGGTCCAGATGCATTTCTGCCAAAAGCCTTTGGGTTCTGAGATTCGTTTCTGAATCTCTGGGATCATCGCCATTAAGCAGTTCGATCAGGAACCAGAGAGGCCATGCCTCCAATTAGATAGCTGATCCAGAGGTGGTTTGTGGGTGTGTCTCCCACATACCTAACTTTTGGCCATTTACTTTCTTGGTAAACTTTGCCCCAAGTTGTTGGGGTCTGGCAAAAGGCACAGCAGCAATTTTGGGGTATCTGAAAGTCTGAAGGTGCCCTCTGGCTGCTGATGCACTCGCCTCACAGGTACAAATTTACCTGATGGCGGCACCATACCCCCACTTCTGTTTATGTTTTATCCCAAACAGACAACAAGTCATTGGAAGTGAATGCCCCAAATGCAGAACGCTGAGAATTTATTGGATCCTTATGGTGGCTTTTTTCGTTACAATTATTATCATTGAATTGATGTTGCTTTATATTGTTATGCATGTTTCATGAGGGTTTTTTCACACCATTTTCACAAGTTTGCACACTGTGCATTATCAAAGTGCCTGCATCCCTCTACCCATTGGGGCCCCTTCCATCCTTGATCTTGTGGCACACCTCAAGTGCTGTCCTTCTGTAACTATTTTTTCCATTTTGGTAGGAATCATGTCATGGAGTTGAATGCTTCTTTGCTAGGGAAGACTAGGGGCCATGCCAAACCCAGCACCTCCGGTAAAGCAGACATGGGCACTATCTCTGTCCATGAACTGTTTCTAATGGCAGCTCCAGATAGAACTAGCTCTCCCCATACCTGTGCAAACTACAGATCTTTCCAGGTGTAAAGAGTTGTACATGTTTTGTTACTGTTGATTCCTAATTATAATAAAGAGAAATTACAGTGGCCTTTGAGGTATGCATTATTTTGTAATTTATAATGCCTTTGTTTTTGAAATTCTAGTTATTCTTCCTTAGACTGGAGTGACAGCACAGCGGGTAGGGCGTTTACCTTGCACACAGCAAACCTGGGTTTGATTCCTCTGTCCCTCTCAGAGAGCCCGGCAAGCTACCGAGAGTATCCCACCCACACAGCAGAGCCTGGCAAGCTCCCCGTGGCGTATTCGATATGCCAAAAACAGTAACAACAAGTCTCACAATGGTGCCCGTTACTGGTGCCTGCTTGAGCAAATCAATAAACAAGGGAGGACAGTGCTACAGTGCTACAGCTATTCTTCCTACAGAATCACTCCTTGCGTGCAAAAATGTACGTTTGATGTATCTTTCCTCCCTTCCTCCCTTCCTCCCGCTCTCCCTCCCTGCTCCATCCCACCTCCCTCCCTCCTTCCTTCCATACTTTCTTCTTTCTTTCCATCTTTTTTGGAGGGGGGGATTTGGCCACACCCAGCAGTGTTCAGGGTTTACTCCTGGCTCTGCACTCAGAGATGCCTTTTGATGGATTCAAGGGACCATATAGAATTCTGGGGATCAAACCCAGTTTGGTACCAGCAAATGCCCTACCTCCAAAATACCTATAGAGCCCCCAGGTTTTGACTTCTTAATCTTGTGATATTTATCAATTTAGGTTTTGGTTTGTTTAGTTGGGTACAACGTAATGGAAGTATGTAAGTCTAATGACCTTCTTGTTCAATTATGAAGATAA